CTGATCGATTTGGTCCGAGTGTGCGCCGTGCATTACGCTCCTATGGTGGTGGAAAGGTGTAAATTCTGATTTCAGGTGCTTTTATCCATGCAAGCAGATGTTTGTTTAGGGTTTGGAAAGGACAATACGCACGAATCTGTTTGAGACGTATTATTTAGTCATCTACGTACTTACGAGTTTGCTATTAACTGATATTTATTTATTTATTTATTTATTTATTTATTTATTCTTGCTATTCTTGCTATATTGCTAATGAATTTTTTATTATTTTGTAGTCCTATTTACATCCGGGTCTTCTGCAGCTTTCCGTCCGTTCCATCAAACTTAGCAATAGCAATGACACTTTTGTACTGTTCCTAGCGAGCCTACTTTTGCGATACTCCCCACGTCCCCCGCGGCCAAGTACGAACCCATTTTGGGGATTTCGCATGAAAAGAGGGCTGTTAAACGTAGCAGTTAAATCTGTAAAGAATACACTCATAATAATTTTCATTTTAACATCTTGACTTCCATAGCTCCACTCCCACTATCAACTGAAATGTCAAAGCATTGCCCGGCTCTGCCTTGAGATTTACGACCCCCCCCCTCCCCAGCGGCCAAGTACGACCCCCTATGGGTTTCGCACAACGACGCTGTACCCTGTTTGCACTTGCTCATCTCCAGGTGTGACTGGAAATGCAACTGATGAGCGTCTTGTATATAGCCGTTTTTCCTCTCACTTCCACTGTCACACCTGTGAGATATCTTGCGGGGAAAAAGAGAAGTGGAGGGAAGTGGTGAAAAGAACAAGACAGCCGTGGGATGTTTTCGGATAGACTCGCCTTCGTTCATGAGACTAGAGGATGGAAAAAAGAAAGATGGGGTGAAAGCACAAGAAAGGAAGAGAAACAAATTCAAAGAATATGAAGAAGACTTTTTTCTCAAGCATTTTCACCTAACGAATCTGCTCAAAGTATTACACTAAGCCTGAAAACCGATAGCTCATTGAAAACTCACAGAAAATCAGGCCGTGGCTTCTTGCAGTCTATCACTTCTGCGGCAGGCGTTGCAAAAAAGATCTGGGTCTTGTGTTTTCTATCGGAGCTGCGATCTTGACTGATGTAAAACGATGATTAATGAAACGATGTCGTCAATTGCTCCTCGTTCAGAATGGCTACACGACGTCGGTACGGCACCTACGGCCGGGCTGTCACCTTGCCGGCGCCCGTGATCACTCCCGGTGTAGACTGGCCGAGACCAGCCGGACATGCCATGGAATCAGAGGTATCACTTGTGAAGTGCTTTTCTATTTATAGCACAAGACGCGGAGGCTTACCTCAAGAATTTCGCAGAAAATCAGGTCTGCAATCCATCCCTCTACCAATCTCGCAGTTGTTGCAGTAATCATGGAAATATGTGAATGAGCCACCGAAAATGATCCTACTATATATAATCCGCTAAGTATGTCTGTAAGTGTGTGTGTGTGTGTGTCTGTGTGTCTGTCTGTCTGTCACGAAATTCATAGCGAGCGTCGCAGAAAAGATAGGACGACAGTTCCAAGAAGTGATATACATGGCAGGACGGGAACACTTTTGGTGGGTGATAGAATGTGATAGCACCTGATAAGATTCGATAAGGGGCCTTAGAAGGGGAGGGTGACCGAGCCCATAGTGCGGGACACAGTAACAGTGGGACATTGGTTCCAAGGTATGATATAGGACGTGGGACAGGAACATTATTGATGGGTGACAGGGAATGATAGCAGCTGATAGGATTTGATAAGGGGAGTTAGAATGGTAAGGTCACCATACTCATAACGCGGAACACAGCATCAGCTAGGCATTAATTTCAGAAAATGATATAGAGTTGGAGATGGGGACACGGCACGTGAGGTGATAACAGCTGATAGGGGCTGATAAGGAACGTTGCCAATGCTGTTCAGTCAAATTGCTGGAGCCTTTACACTACCAAATTATAGAGTTTCAGTGATAGGGACATTGATGACGGGTGACAGGATCTTATCAATCGATAAGAAACGATAAGGGGTCATTATCATTACCTCTCTTATCACTACAGGGGGGGGGGGCCAAAAAAAAGTCATTTTGCCTCCATGACTTTCAAGGCGCTATAAGTTACACTTTATTAAATTTTTATCGGACACATTTTTACTACCATATTAAAGAGCACATTAAATACTATAATGATACTCCGCCACAGCCTTCTGGAGGAGCGCCATCGAGAGATTCGGCCGCGCGAAAGTGAGTGGGTACCGGAGTTGAGCGAGATCGTTGATTTCTCCGCCACTGTAGACCACCCTGTTGAGCTCCGCCCGAACTAGGTAATTGAGTGGGTTCAGGTCAGGGGACATATTTCAATATTACATCTTCATCAGGTACGAAACGCCCTTCCATTCGAAGTAGGTTTTTCCAAAACCCTTCGATTCCATGTGGTGGCACCCAAACCTGTAGCAGCACAAGGTCTCCAAGAAGGTACGGGCGACCACATGTAGGGAGGATATCCTTCTCGAGTTACTTGATGTAACCGCCAGCGCTCACCTTCAGTCGGGGTCTACAAAGAAAATATCGGTCTTCCCATTCCAGGTACGGCCGGTCCACACCATCAACCCGCGCCTTGGTGAATGGGGTGAAGATGATGTCCTGGACCGTAGCGACGTTGCCGGAGCTGCTCGATGTTGAGGTCTTGCAGATCAAGAGTACTGGTCTCCAGGTAGCTATCCATGGGTGATTCCATTCAAGAAGTTCCGCAGCTGTTTGGAGGCCACGTGAATTCCAAAGGCGTTCTCCACTCAGGCCGCGACTGGAGATGACTTCATATTTTGGTGTACATGAAGGTGAATGGCGGCAGCCGGCTCCTGCTTATAGAGGAAGATCTTGGGTATCTTCCGCCCTGGTACTCATATCCACTTCCTCTGTCTGGGCTGCGAAAACTTCGCTCATATGTGACTCGGCCGGAATGACTTTTTTTTGGCCCCCCCTGTATACCCCCAAGTATCAAAGGCTCAGTGTGCATACTTTTCCTTCAGCCATCACTTCCCTGATAGCCTTAGAAAATGAACTCATCCTACTATATAATGTCGATGTCGACGAGCGGGGGGTATGTAGTTCGCCTGAAACAGGAATCTCAGGGAAATTCGAGGAGAACCGAAAACACTTCACGAGCGGATCGCATGCTAATTGAAAGGAAAGCGTTCGTCGGTAGGCATTCCGGTGCAGGTAATGGAAACGAAATCTGCTATTTCACTGAGCGATTCATATTGCGCTGTATTGGCCGACTGCATATTGTATCTATCTACAGATTTTATTCTACGGGCGAGAAGCTTCTAGAAGCGCGTGCTGAGTTGTTCGGGATCTTAAGCCTTGCTCTGTCTGTTACGATTCGATCACTACAGCGCCTTATGAGCAGCCCACTACCGAAAAAATTCCGTTAAAATTATGGAGCCGCCTGGCGAAGCCAGGCCAGCTCGGCGAAGCCGAGCTCAAGAGAAGGAGGAGAGCACGGCGTGAGCCGTGCGATCCGACTGGTATTTTATTTGGCTAAAAATTCGACAACGATCGCCTTCTTTTCATCCTACAAAATAGGAGCGTAGTTAGGGCACATCATTAGTTGGGGTTTTGGGTGAAGAGATCGTGAAACTGTCACAAAAAGTTGGTCTCCTCAGTCGTCCTTTTCTTATGCATTTACATTTGAAGTCTGCAGTTTGATGAACGTTTCCCACCTCTAAATGTGGACTTGTTACGAATCCCCATCCGTTAAAGCGTCCGTGAAACGAAAAACCAACACACTTCAAACAATACCCAGACCAATGCGACCCCTTCCCGGCGGCTAAATACAATCCCCCTCTGTTGGGGAATCCCAGCGATGATGTGCCCTGAGCGCGACAGTAAATAATTCATCCATAATCACTTCAAAACTGTAGAATTATAAAGCAAAGGTAAGGAGTTCGTGAAACCATATCGAGGTCACTTAGAATCTCCCAAACTGCTTAATACCTTAACGAGAGATGCATTTTGAAAAAAGCCGTGTGGGACGGGAAGATCCATTTGTTTTTTTTGTTGAAACTTTGCTTGTGGGGTTACCCTGCGCCCTAGCACCAGCAGAATATTCGCCTTCAAGCCTCATTTGTCGCCACCACCTATTAACAGATTTTACTTTGGTTACCGCGCGACTCTTATACTCTTGTAAAGCTGCGAAGCAGTACATGTGAGCCATTTAGTGGCAGGAATTCACTGGATTTCACAAGTGTCCTGTACAGCTTCGCTCAGTGCCATTTGGCGTCCCATCAGGCCCACATTTTTTTGACGGCGAAGTCACTTGGGGCAACTAGGCGTCGCCGCTGAAATCGAATTCAGTGGTCATCATCAGGACATCGAACAATTTTCGTTTTCCATTTTCATGGGCTTTGTCAAAAGAGGTGGTGTTACAGAATTTTACGCGGGGGCCGGGAACGAGTGCCATAGTTGTGATCACGTCACTGAATAATCATTTTGTCGAAGTTTTACCGGGTTTTGAAGTTCTGTGTGGTAATAGGACGAGCAATAGCACGTCAAACTTTCCAATATATCACGAAACCCAAAACATGATGCTAATCGGTGTTGGCTGAGGCTAGCTAGCTCCTCTGCGTCGCTTATAGTGTAGCTCGCTGCGGACGAGGGGGAGTGTCAGGGGGATAAGTTTGAAGCGGTGCCGAACCTGTTCTCTGTCAGTTGTTGGAGCGAGCAAGTAACAAGACTGTGTCAAATCTTATTAAATGCTTTCTATTAATTGTTGTCGCATACCTGCTTCAACAACTGGCAGAGAACGGGTTTGGCGCAGTGGCACACTCATGCTGCCTGACACGCCCCTTCATCCGCAGCGAACTAGAGTATACCTCCATCTCGAACATTTATTGAATTGGATATTGTTCTGATACACTGCTTATCATATTCTTTCTTTGCAATCACTGTAAACACTTTCGAGTGATAGTGAATATAAAAGCGGTCGAATGAGTGAGACTGGTATCAATGCCACCAGCCAAAGAAGACACATGGGCGTTTCAGGTACGCATGTCCCTTCCAATCCACATCCTTCTTCCTTTGTTAGACGTTCATCATTTCAGCCGATTGGAGCGCCGTTCCCGGACAATCCAATTCGTGTTCCTGGACAACAGAATATGTACGTGGCTCTGTGGTACAAATACGGAAAGCCGATTCATGGACGAGCATGGAATAACAACGGCGGTGTGGAATGCTCGTTCCCGTACAAGAAAGCAGAACTCACTACAAAAACTGAACTCGAGGGACGTATACAAATTCTTACATACAAGGGCAACTTCAAAACACTTGGTTATTGGTGGGTTACCAATATGTAGTGCTGAGAGTTTAGCATTCCTCAAGCTTATTTTGATGGCAATTCCATTTACAGGTATGAATGGCTTCCACTGAAAGCTCGATTCGACGACACTACTGATCGAGAGCTTGTGAAGTGCGGTTCGTCAACTCCGATTCTGATGACGTGTGCCGACAAGGAGAAACGTCTGGGATACCTCGATTTGAGTACAGAAATTGCTATGGTCGGCTATAACAAGAAAGTTGAACAAATAGCCGGCGGAGCAACGCAGGAGTGCCTTGGAATCTTCCGTAACTACAAGCAACCTCCAAATGTGATCGTTGAAGAGGATCAATGGGAAGATACGAAGTGGGGGAATGAGTTCCCAAAAAATGTTGAACCGGTGAGCAAACAATAGTGAAGGACGATAAAAAAAGTCGCCTTATTACTGGACCGGCGGATTCTAAGGCTGCGTTCAAATTAGGTCACCCCATTCCAAAAGTGCCGATACATATAGAGGAATGGCAGAAAAGCAAAGGGGATAGAGCAGCGGGCTACTATACCATTTGGAGGCTAGTACCTTTAGCTATGTATCTGTGAAATTTGGCGAACCTACCCACAGAAGAAGTTCTCGAGAAATTGAAAAGAAGCCCGAGTGGTGAAAATCAGCGATTTTCAAATCAGACGTCATAAGAGGGAAGTGCGCTGCTCAAATTCGACCGGCATCGGATCAGTAGTTGTAGTAATGGTGTTCTCGATATACAAGGTGGAAGGTTTGGTTCAGGAGCCCGAAGAAGGAAGAAAGGAAGAAATTTGTTGTCGGTCCCATAATGTTCATCCTGCACAAGAAAAAGGGTGGATGAAGTCAAGCGCTGAATGTCTGATCCCAGAGCTTGGACCCTTGTCAGGCTGCGTTCATATCAGGACCCCCGCGAGCCGCGAGCCTGACATCCCAGCCTGCTGCCCGAGTTATGCCCGATAAAGTTGAGGATGACCAAGAGGGTGTGCCTATGGGTACCTAAGTTTCTTGTAGAGGCACGAACGCAGTACCGAATCTACATATGCCTGTATGTGACGCGAGAACAAGGTAGCAGACAACTGGTATGCTCCTTACGCGCAATACTGTCTAACAGCAGTCTGGTATCCTCCTATCTTCCCTTATCTACCAGCAGTCTGCTACACTCATATCTCCCCAAACTCTAACACCTGTCTGCTACCCTCCTACCGCGCCATACACTCCTCTCCCGGACGCTGGCACACGCTAGTAGACGCTAGATCAATACCTTTACTTCCCAGCCCCCCATACGCTGGTAGACGCTGGCGAACGCTGGGAGACGCTGATAGAAGCTGTCAGACGCTCGAAACGCTAGTGGACAAAGTATGAATGCAGCCTCAGCAACACCGTCCACTATCCGCGATGATATGTAGGATTTTGCTTGGGAACACTTTCATAATGGGGATTAGAAGGTGTCGAATGTACGAATGCAATACCGAGAAGGGATTTTAAGGCGATGAAGCGTGAACTGAAGACGGCAGCCGACGTCCCGAAATATCAGTACGTTGCGTTGTGGTACAAGCACGGTGAGCCAGTATTCGGTCGTTGCTATCCGGGAAAAGACGGAAAAGTGAGTTCGTTCGGAGTTCTTGATAGGGTCGAGTAGGGTGGTGACCGAAATGTGTTCTAGCTCATGGCCAGTTTCGGAGCGAAAAATCAAGAAAACTGTGGGCCGGAAATAGGTTCGCTGCAAATTTTGACGCTACCTGATCCAAGCTGTGTGAGTGTTTTAATACAAATCTCTTTTCTGAGCGGTGCTGCCAAGATCAGCTCCCGATGAAGCTTGGCTACGCCATGATGAAGAAACTGCCTGAAAAGTGTCGTGAGACTGTTAAAACCTCTGTTGCCTACGTCTCGCACTGATTGGGAATAGGACGGTGAGAGGCAAGGGAAGAAATCGATGATGGAAGCTGCAACGCCAGAAAAAATGGGGCAATTGGTTCTGGAGTGAGGAGGTCCAGAAAATGACTCTTTAATGAAGAGGCACAGCATGGCGAAAGAAAGAAGCGTACAGGTCATTTCAGAAGACAAAGAAGTCAGAGGATCTTGTAATCCACAAAAATCGACTTGCCAAGTCAACTACGGCCAAATCGGAGAACGCCGAAATGGATGCCTTGGTCGGACAGCCGAGAGGGAGATAAATTGACCAGCTAGTAAAAACTCGACATCGGGCCTTGCAAGACAGGATTCAGGAGCTGATCTTGGCAGCTGTGGAGACTGCGACAATGTCATTCTAAAGACGCCAACTGAAGTCAAGAGAAAGGGAAAAGTATGGTTCAATAGACTTCTGAACGATCACAGATAGAATCACCTCCCACACTGCTACTCACGATTAGGGGCGACGGATGGCTTCATCGAAACCTGGACGGAGGATAAGGTTCATAAGGTGAAATGAGGTGAAGATTGGGGAGGCAGCTGACCTAGACGGAACATCAATTGAAGCCTGAAGGGAGCACGGAGTGAGGCAATTCACCTGCACTATGAACGAGGCTCAGGTTGTGGGTAAGCAGTACAATCGTCCCCATCTTCCAGCAAAACTCGCGATCCAGTGCTCCAACCACCGCGGTCTGGCAGTTTCCGAATTTTCTCTCCGAAGAGGAAATTTTGTAGACCACCCCTATAGCACACCCTTCTTCAGTGCCGTTGAGGCAAATTCCACAGTCCGAAATCTCACATCGCAGTAACGATGTGAACGGTGTGATTCAGTGTGAACTTGTATAGCTTACTGGCCAGCTTTACTATGATATCGGCCGCTTAGCCGCTTTCGAAGGGTACTGCATGAATTCTGGGTTGTGGGCAAAAAATACCCCGGCAGAGCCCGAATCCCCCCTCTCGCCTACTGCGCAGTGTGCCAACTATCATACCGCCAAAGCCATCTTCCACTCTCTCAAGTGAATGGGTTTTTCACCACAGATTTGTATCACTAATGTGAAAAGCCAGTCGGAAGGTATCGACAGTGGAAGGCTGGGGCTTCTCTATTAGGTATTGGGAGGAGTCTCCACCATACTATGTGAGTGTGAGGGCAACTCGTTCTCAAGCACATCCGCCGCTTCCTTTCACGACGCGATCCTCATAATACTGGCTTTTTTCGACCGGATTTTATCTCTCCACTAGATTCCTCCTGTTCACTTTCATGTACACTACTTTTGCCTCTGCGGCGTGCTTACATGTAACTCGCCAGCTTCTAGCATTTGAGCAAGGACAAGGAGGGCTGTATTTTTCACAATGCCTCTACTAGCACAGCTGTGTATGGCAGACAACGCCCATCTTCACAGTATAATTCCAGATGGGTCTCGAGTACAAATGGATGACTCTGGCAGACGCGAGAGCAGAAGAGGCAAAGAAGTGGGAACCGGTACATGTCGGCACCGCTGCACCAGCAGTATGTGTCGACGATTCTGGCATCGAGGTGCTTGGCTGCATGAACCTGACTAATGAGACAGCTTCGATTGGATTGAATGGTAAGCAAAAGGTGAGGAAGATAACCAAGATGGTTTAATTTCTAGAAATCACTGTTCCATCGGAGGCAGAGTGGATACTAAAATGGTCCCCACTAGTGGTTTTCTTGAAAAACCATCAGAGATGAGAATTTGCTGATTCTTCGCTTTCGATTGCTCAGTATGGGTGTGCGGGGAAGTTCTGTCACATTTTGCCAAATACATTTTCGTTGCAAAGGAACTCACTGGATCAACTCATGTACCATTGATAGTGTAGGGTCTCTGCCAGCTTACCGTCCCTTTCTGGACGCCATCGACCGTTGATGGAGTTTGTGGTAGCGGAAAGGGCCAAGCTTACCACGAGCGCAGTCAGGGTGACCGAAACAGAGGCAGGCTGGATAACTTACCTCCAGGGACGGAGATGGATTGCGGATTCTTTTGGAAGGACTAAAAAGTGACTTTCACATCAGCTGGCCCCCGAGGTCTTTGTGCAAGGCCCATCGCAGATGATAAGATTCCTGAGTGAACGAAGAATGCATACCGCTCCAGGAAGGGATCAACGGCAGGAGGATCCTTTTATTCCCTGATAAATGCTATTGCTTCACAATGCAAGCTCGCGCAATGCAGAGAAGGACCTCAGCTCGATGTTAACCGTTCTGACAGGGGCTCGCATAGTAGAGCATTTCACCCCATGCAATAAGTTACTTCGCGAAGGGATAACTAGTCGGAAGGAGCAATGTCCCTGCTATGAAGTGTTGAGGCAGAGCTATCCAACTATGACTCACAGCACTCAAAGCGCTTTTGTAGAAATGTTGGAGACAGACTGGGCAGACAGCGAATTGTTCCCTCTTCGATTCTCTTAATGTCTCAAGCTATTGTGTGGATATCGGCCCTGGAATCAGATTCTCCCGAAAGCTGTAGCTCTCTTAAGCTGACATCAGATGCACGACCAGGGCCCACATTATTTAAGTAGTGTAGAGTCCCGTTTCGGTGCCGTGGAAGATAGTCCGATAAATTTATGAAGGTGCAGATACAGACGGTCAGGGATTGGGAAAGGACTGGGAAACGAGCGAATGGTACTAATCGATGGACTATTGCCTTGGGTGTTATTGTTCACATTAACGGTCCCCTTTTGCAGATTAAGGGCAGCAACATAAGTCCAAATGGGATGCCACAACTTCCCCACCAATCTAACAATACGTAATAGAATGCAACACATACTTTTATTTTTATAATTTCAGATGTTCACTGGTACGGCTCCGATGAAATTCAATGTGCTCCATCATAGAAAGCTCCATTGAGATTACGATACTCTACTTATGATATCTTCCATAAAACGAAGCACATAGCATGAGGCACATGATAAACGGGTTACGACGTTGTACGCCTAACATATTTTGACCATCACATCCCAGTACTAGAAAAGAGAAGCTCATTGGAGATCTGATGGGACGCACATTGTGCTACTTTGTATAGCAGATCGCCTACAGTGGATACAGTGACTTTCCTGGAACATACCGATATTCCATGTTATAGCACGGGAATTCCCATTCCAAACACGAGTTAGAAACATACTTCTCAGGTCGCTTACCGAAAACACGCCCAAGGAATCTTCGAATCTAATACAGAACTCGAGTATACAGCCCATTAACATCATCAACGCGAAGAAATCTGTCTGTTGCTCTGTTATAAATAACTTCTGTTTAACGCCGACGCCACAGTCGGGAAGGTATCAGAAGAATACTGAGCTGGTGGCAGAAGTCTTGATCTTTGGCACGACTCGAATACGTACCTCGCGCTCTCGGGGCGAGTGCGGTCACTATTCGTCACTCTACCAACACCGCTGCTATTTTCCAGCTTGACGACTTTTATATCATGGCCTCAAACCGATCCCACCGTGGAGAATTGTAAAGCCATCTGCATCGCGGTTTTCCTGCCTAAACATCAATTCCACCACGGTGCCTAATGTACGTGAGAGTGAGACGTTCCGAATTCCTGCGTGGGGTCTGGCTTCACCTTTCCAAGTCAGCACTCTTGGCGGATATTGCCTCCCTTTTTCCTATCGAGGTCCGTGCGCAATCACCTATATCTCACTGTGAACTTTACCTTTGATTGTTAATGAGAGTGAAAAGTGAGTTGGCAGAATAATCTATCCTAAAATAAACACTACTTGGCTTTTTCTACTGTAACAATTTACTACCAAGCCTTGAGAAAGTCTCAGCGTTAGGACATTTGCAACATGTGCCATAGATTAGTTGAGACGTGTTCTGCCACCGAGCTCTCTTCCTTCATGTGATGAACCCAGCTAACGTCGGGGGCTGCTATTTCCACTGGTTAGCGAGAACTTCTTCACAGCACCTTTTGAAACAGCATTCCTTCTAGATCATTCCTGATCACTACTATATCGGTGAGGAGGCAGGGGTGGGAATGTACACCTCTCTCTGCATGTGGTGGAGGGTCAGATCCCAGTTCGTCTTCCATTCGGGATGTACAGGTCACACGATCGAGGCTGATAAGATCCTACCAGGTTCATGTCTTCTTCTTCTTATTATTCTTCAGCGTTGGTCAAACTGTGGAAGGGGGTCCGCGCTTCCCAAACATGCGTGATGTGACATGGTGTTTACAGGCCAGCCCGTCACGAAGGCCTGCCACCTGGCCTTTGAACGTCGCGGTAACTCAGCCCGTTAAAGGACCGGCAGTTCTACTAGTAGCACCACGTGAGCGAAACTTCACCACTGGTCAAGACTTATGCTGAGAAGATAAAAAAACTCAGTGTTGTAGGGCCATTTCACATCTGACGTATAGGAAACCTGTCCGGAGGTCGACATCTCATGCAGCTTTCGCATGCACCATTGTGATTTGAAGCATTTCGATTTCATGAAGACTATTGGTTATAAGGTTGTCTACTATCGCCACCCAGAAACGTCATTTTTAAAAAATCACAACCGCGCTGAAAAGTAGGCGTGGTTGTCGAAGCGGGTTTGCGGCAGTGTTTAGTGCGATCTGTCTAATTAATTGTCCATTGTGAAAAGTGTGGTCGATTTACTACTGGAACCAGGTTACCTGGTTCCTCTTGTGATGACGAGAAGCTGAATAAGAAATGCAGCGAAACGCTGAAAGTGTATTTCAGCCGCATGCTGGCCCGGTTTTGACTAAAACAGTTGTCAACATCGTGACGTATTTACTACATATTGTGCATTATCAAGAAGAAGACAGCATACATTTGGACTTCATTTTAAAATTTCTGCCAATGCATTTCCTGACGAGCCTGAACGACGCCTATGTTCGTTGCCTGTTTCCTTATGCTGCCATGGCAACGCCAGTGCGCACCGCCGTTCTTCTATTTGAGGAGACCGAATCCTTAACGTCCTGCAGAGTTCAAGGACTCATTGCACATCCCCTTTTCCTCTGTGGAATCTCATCTTCAAGCAATGATGGTTGCCGAGAGGCTTTTCATATTACTCCATCATTCCTTCCTGCGCGTTGAGGAGCTTCTGGCATTTACAGTAGTCGCTGAATCTTCTTTAATCACTAAACATTCATTTCTCTCAACAAGCTCAGTCATATGTCCTGGATTGGTTTTCTTATCCTTCTTTCCATGTTCAGAGCTTCGAAGGCGACAAAACGGTAACATCTCGAGAAGATTCACACTCATGTCGCGTCCGCCGTCAGCTCGTCCAAAGACATCCACCGGTCGAGCGAGCAGCGCGGCCCGAAGGGCCCCACCGGCTGATCACGCAGTTATGAACGGTATGGATCGTTCATAGATGCATATCTTTCAGATACCGGCATTAATCACAGTTTGCGACCCTGGAATTCGGCAAAGGAAATGCATCAGCGAAGAGCTTTCGTTACGAATCGATAGAAAGAGTACCGCACGAGCAAATATGGCGCTGTCGCGAAAAGTATTACGTATCCATCGGGAAGTCGGCAGAGCAAGTGGTTTGGACGTCCGCTTCCCCACTACTCATTTGGGCGGGGTCAGTAAATTCGATGCGTATCACACCCTTTCACCACGGCGCTGGATTCGCCCCTTGTTTCGCCGACACACCTAATCGATACGTATTAGAATCTCTTGATGTGTGTGGCGAATTCGCCAAGGTCTCACAATGCCATAGCCTCCAATGTACATGGAAAAACTCGAACAATCAGAGCATAAGCAGTTTCAGGGTCCATCCCATCAGATGCAAGACCAGTATCTCGAATCTCTCTGTCGCGAGCAGGTCCAGTCATGCCAGCGCCACCGTCACGGAGTGGTATTGGTGAGTGTTCTGGAAAGCTGGACTTTATAATTGGTGCCATTCCATCCCAGCTAAATTGTTTTGCTGTTTCAGGTTCAAGAGCAGGCACTCCTCAACGCATCGGAACTGCTGTGAGTACAAAATAAACCGAGTTTTTCGCAATAGCTAGGCTATCGTCCCATCCAGTCGTTTCAAAATGGATGGATTGACCCCACCTGCAGCGTTTTGTTTTTTTCCTCAATCGACTACCAGTTAAATTACCATGAGGCAGCCGCAGGCGGGTTATCTCGCCCCCGTGACACCTCCTCCGACTGATTGCGATGTCATTCTACTGCACCTGCTCTGTAATAGTAGTAACCAACAAATATGGTGAAGGGATTGCAACTAGGGCCAGGAGGCAAATGTCTGACGTCCTGCTGGAACATTGTCAAAGCGTAATGAAATTTACACTCTTGATCGCTGTGGATGCTGAGACATGTCATGGATTTGGCGCGGACCTGTGAGTTCTACAACAAATGTTGGACCGGGGACAACTGGTGGAGAACTGGTTTGGGCCGCGCCAAATTGCAGAACGCAAACCCTTGATACGGCCTAGCCGCATCGAACAACATGATATAGCTATCATGAACAGTGAGATTCGGGTGGGAGCCTCTCACGTAGTCATCCTGAGTCTCCCACTTTTCCCGCTGCCTGTCGTATACGAGCTGCCCTGCATTTAACTCACGTCAGGAACACGTGTTCATTGTAGTTTTGTAGATAATAGCGTTTTTGTCTATTTGGAAAATGGATTATTCAAAATTATGGATTATTCAAAATTGACTGAACAGAGCTACTATTTAGCTGAGTTTGGTCGGTACAGTCGCTTTCGCAATAGAAAACGAAGCCGAACTCCTAGGGAGGGATGGGTCGTGTACGCCGCACTTGTAATAAAAGTCCGTCTTGTCGAGGACAACAACTTTCGAAACGCATGAATGTTAGCGAAATCTCATATTAATAGCAAAATATGATATACTATATCCGTTGCAGAACAATACCCAAGCTTCCTTCTCCCTAATTGTAAGATCCAGTAAGCTCAAAGGGAAAAGTGCCTGAGATGAAAGACTCCATCAATAGTTCCAAAGATTACTGTTGACCGGGGTCGCCCGAATGGCTAGTAAAGCTCCATTGGTGATCTGTTTGAACCACCACGGATAAGAATTTTCTGACACTTCGCTTCTATTTATTGGTCTATAGAGCCAAGAAGCTCTACTCTAGTTTCCAATTTTTTTTCTACAGATGGCTGAACGCCCACTTACTGGTATGGCTCGGCCTCCGACTGCGCTCAATCCACCTCATCGTCCTGTCACTCAACAAGGACTCAGTGGTGGTAGAGCGGTAAGGCCGCTTGGCACGGGAAGTGAGTTTATCTTAACTCGCGTAGCGATCACTGATTCTAGTGAGCGCGACTTTCCGCGCTCGACCGAAACCATAGGTTTAGATCGCTTTGTAGCAGAAGTATAGCAGAAGTATTAATTGCTGCAATGTGAAACCTTTTGAAGGCATGCGCCAAGTTCACGACAAATCCTATTACATGGGTCTTCTTCGGTCGAAAATCAATCAAATCAGCCTGGAAACCTCTAAATTGCAGGAAGTTTATCAAAAAGGTCAGCGCGATCGAATGGAGCTCGACGCTTACGAGCAGAGGTACGATATACTATTTTCATTCAAAATTCACGTCTTTTCAAAACTATTTCACCAATTTTCGGGTGGAAACAAACAATCTCGCTGCACGAGGATCACCCAGACACACTCAAAGATTACGCACACCAAAGCGACCCAGCCCCACAGCTACGCAAGCTCTCATGGATCATAATTCTTATAAATAATTTGATCTTACAATTTCTGCTTCTGTGACCTCTTTGCTCTTTTACTTTGGCGCATATGCACATTGAGGGGAAAGGACTCTCTGAATTTTGGTATAACACCATTCTAAGCTGCACTTGCCAGTTCCAGCCGCTGTAGAAGACTCGCACAATGTAGTGTCTGCGATTCTGTAAACAACACCAACTTGAGCAAGGCAAGCTCTCAATGAGCAGGTCAAAAGTAGCCTCTGTCGCCTCGCACAGCTAAACTTACCTTGTTTTTTTTCCGTTACAGAGCCCTCCCTTCCCTGCTAATGGCAAGCATATTTCCATCCACTGTAATAACCATTGCTGTCAGGGCACGTCGTACTTTAGGTATGTATCCCCTGCGAGGTGTGTCTATTTGCCTTTACTGAGAAGTTGGGTAAACCTCTTTGGGTTGCTTGAACTTTCCTTCGGGTTTTCCTTTCAAGTGCGCTATCCCTCCTTCCCCTCTTCGCCTTGGTGACCGTGTTTAGAGAAGTGACCGAAAATTTCCGGATAAATTGGAGAAAGTGGCATACGTTGGCAGTTAAAATTCAGGGAGACGGTTGAGAACTTCTGAGTGAGGCGGGTGGGGTTGTAATTTGCAAGAATTTTCCCCAAGCGCAAAGATCGTGCCTTACCACGGTTCCCTTGCTATAAACTCATTACACGTACGCGAAAATGTCACGTATACTTCACGCGAAATGGGAAGAGCCTGGTAAGCCAGCAGCGGGAAAAATTTTCCCGCAGCTAGGAAACTAGCGTTTGACTACTTCAGCACAGGGTACAGCATCGTTGTGAAACTACCATAGGGGTCGTACTTTCCCGCTGGGGAGGGGGTCGTATTTGGTCGTTGGGGGGCCCACATGTGCCTTTAAGAGAAATTTGCCGCTTGAGGAAAAATTTTTCTCGGTTGTTGACTTTTAGCATGATTGTACTTGTTTCATATGGTAATCCGATGAAGCACCACCCCCCCCCCACGCCTCGACGGGAACTGTTGGGTGGGTGGAAAAAACTGGAAAATGTGGGGAATTGGTAGGTAGGTGTTGGGGGAGGAAGGGTCGCATCAAAACCCCCCGTTTTACCAGTGGAAGGCGTCTGTACTGCGCGTCTATCTCGGAAGAGGGCGGGGTTCGTACCCTACACCATTTCGCAGTCACGATTGGGCTGTATCCGTTGCTTTAGGCAAGGATGTGCTGGCCGTACGCTTTTGAGCATTTTCCTGTAAGGTGTTGGTGTCCGTGAGCATTCCTGTGAGAATGCAAATTTTCTGAGTTGTTTAACAACAAGGTAGATAAAATAATTATATGATCGGTTGTTATAAATTGGTGGGAAGCCTAAAAAACTGCAGGTTTTTGATGTCAAAAGCACAATTGAAGTAACGAGTGAAATTATGCCAAAGAGGATATCTTATCGAGAACGCCATGTTCTCAATGACGAACAATTTTCGGTTCTATTAGGATAGCAGTTTAGCGTTCCAAGAACGATAATTATGTTCGACTTCGTTTTGATCCTTTGACAGTTGTATCCTTGAAATGGGTGCTTTCAGAATAAAGGAATCACTCAGTTGAAAAGCCTTGCCAGTAGAGTGGGTGGCTAAAAATTTCGTAGTTTTCATCCTTCGATTTAACTTCCGTAAATTTGCTTTTTTTGACGATGCTCAGTGTTGTTCCTTATGCTCGCTCCTGGAACAGCCAATTTAGATTTGAACTAAAGCCAATCTGGAAGAGAAAAATGAATAAGACCATAATTGAATCACGAAACGCTGGGCTGAATTCTCAGAGCAGTCGCGCAAGCGGGCCTCTGAAGCTGAAAATTTTTCCCGATTACATTCCCACCTGTATCTTCCTCTGATAAATGGATATGAATGCAAGAGCTGACCATCACTTTTCCATTATCCAAAAATTGTTGCAGAGCCAAGGAAAGTGCAGTGGAGCTCAAAGAGCTGCAACGCAAACTCCTCAACTACAATTTGGTGAGGCTCTAAATCCGCTTCTTTTTCGAACACTTTTCCGATCCATCCGATAATTTGCGAATCTCGTACAATTTTAGCTCGTCGACCGCATGCACAGCAATCATGAGGTGGGCGATCTCGAAGCCGAAGCTAGGCGAGCTAAGGAAGCAGCTGATGAAGTGAGTTGTTTTAAGTTTCGAGATAGGCGGAATTACTTTCCGTGCTTCGGGTCCATATCCTGTTTGGTGTTGGGCCCTTTACCCACAATCCCCCTAATTGGCTTTCTTATGATAAAATAAAACTCTGCGTTCTGGAAATCGATGGAACATGTTCGACTTTCCTTTAATCCCTGAGCCCTTCATGCTCAAAAGAACTATAGTCTTTGGTGAGGCTATTTTGCAATTTGTAGAAAATTGGTAGGAAGAAGATAGTTATTGCAAACAGTTATCTAAAGAAAATGTGTTGGTCGGGATGCTCAAAATGGATCCCTACATGCGGAACACAACCCTTATCCCAGTAAAGACTCCACAGAGGCCTGAGTAATCTGAAAGCACAGTCTAGTTCGTTGCGGACGAAGGGACGTGTCAGTGCAGATCAGTGCGGCTGCGTTGGGCACGGTGCCAAACCAGTCCATCAGATGTTGAAGCGAGGAAGTGTCAAGACTGCATTGTATCGTTGTTATCACGTTTTCTACCAGTTGTTATCGTACTCATACTGCCTGACACGCCCTCTCTCCCGCACTGAAGTAGAGTATAGTTGGTTGTCAGCGATGACTTCAAGTGAGAATGTGGTGCCTTGGTCCCAAGTTTGAGAAGTTGGAAGTCAGGGAAATTTGCATAATACCACTGTCACAACGCACACTACCGCTATCATGTGATAAATTGAACAGGGTACCCGGAGACTTCCCACCAATTACTATTAACAACTCACCGACCACCTAGAGACGCATCCGCTACATTCAAAAGGCTACCGACCACTGTTCAATGAAGAATAACGGAATAATATAAACTCAAATAATAGGTGAATAATTAATCGATAAGGTGATTGTTTACAGTGAGTGTAATATTCTGGTCCCAAAACAACTATGGCGCCAGTCGGGCTCACGGAGCCTGACTAGGAGACTTGACTCACACCTGGGCCACTAGTTCTCCCCATACCTGGTGACAAACGGCACCAAAGAGAAAATCTGAAACTACAATGTCATCGTTGTTGTTGTTGTTTGCGGAGGTTGTTTATGGGCGTACACTTGTCTTTTTCACGGTGATCAACTTTTAGCTCGAAGCCACGGTTCAAGAGCTTTTCCACGAGCGTCAAGCGCGAGAGCATGAGATTGAAGAACTTGGAGCGGAGATCGAAGAACAGAAACGTCTAAATCAAGCGATGCTCTCTGGCATGGTATGTTTAGTCAACAGTAATTAGCAACAGTAATGGAAATTCCCATTAGCTAGTATAGATGTTATCGTCGCCATCAGTCGGAGCAGTGTCAGGAGTAGAGGATGCCTGGCCTCTGGTCCCCTTTTCCACCAGTAGCGACCGGTTGATGAGCGATTTAGGAATAAAACGAAAACGCAACCGGTGGTCTCGTCCCGTGCCTCTCGACTCCGCCCCGACTGACCGCGACGATATCAAATGCGGGTTCGTTTGCGCTTTGCGTTTGATTTTGGGCATGTAATTAAAAGCTTGCAAACGGATCTAGATGTGTTGTCGTCTCAGCCAGTTAGGGCTGTGTCGAGAGGTACGGGATTAGAGTAACGATAATAGTAGACTTTTTCTTTCTTTCTTTTTAACGCTCTCGTCATAAGAGATAAATCACGATTCACTTTTAACGCTCTCGTCATCAGAGATAAATCACGATTCACGTCTCGAACCGTCCTTACAATTAGTCCATGACTCTAGATCTGAATTCTTTTTCTTTTCAATAATGCTTCAACTCAGGATCCAAACCTGCGAGAAACTTTCGAAGAGCTGAAGGCAGAAAGCGAGTCGTTGACAGCACAAGTAGAGGAAGCACAGGAGGAGCTGGCGCGACTGGACGAAAAGAAAGAACAGCTCGAACTCGAGTTAATGAATTCACCAGTGAAGAAGAAAGCCAGTAGGTTGCAAATCGGCTGATAAAGCGAGACTGAACCAAAAAAAGAAATTACAGTGGAAGTCAAGCAGCTGCTGATTGACTTAAAAGCCAAGGAGGAAGCTCTAATAGCTGAGAAAGAGGCGACGGAAACACCCGAACAGAAGAAGCAAAAACTCATTGAGGAGATTAAAAAGAACAACGAGGACATCGCGACAATTGAGAAACAGTAAGTTGATAGCGAAAGAGCTGCTGCCTTCACACCTGGGAACAAAAGAGCTTGTGAGGGAGCGTGGATTGAAGTGCCGCCACGGCGGTCTTCTGCGCGTTGTTGCGGGATTTGGATGCACTAATCGATCCATCCTGAGCCGCAACAGTTGGTGGAAAAGGGCGCCCTGACTGCGCTCTATGCCACTTCCCACCTTGGCACGCCCTGACGTTTGCACAGATTATGGCAGTTATCATATTGACAGAAAAGTTTTGCTTACTCATGTATTTTCCACTTTTAATGTTTCGTGATGAATTCTACAGCCAGTAGACTGCGTTAGATTACATTCAACAAAACGTTAGGTGTTGGCTTCCCATACCAGCTCGGCTGCGTTTATACTTTGCGGCAGCGTAGCGCTTCCAGCGTACGCCAGCGGCAGTGCCGGGGAGAGGATGCATATCGATCTAGCGTTCCCAGCGTCACCAGCGTAACGCTAGCGTACGCCAGCGTTTCTCCAGCGTTTCACCAGCGTTTTGCTAGCGTTTGCAGCGGCAGGGGAGTAGAGACTATGGGAGAGCTGGAGGGTACAAAACACATCGATTGCGCGTCTCTCACTCGCCCTCAGTCTCTACAATACACATCGATTGCGCGTCTCTGACGGCCACATAGTCTCTACAATACACATCGATTGCGCGTCTCTGACGGCCACATAGTCTCTACAATACACATCGATTGCGCGTCTCTTACGGCCACATAGTCTCTACTCCCCTGCCGCTGCAAACGCCAGCAAAACGCTGGCGTACGCTAGCGTTACGCTGGTGACGCTGGGAACGCTAGATCGATATGCATCCTCTCCCGGCACTGCCGCTGGCGTACGCTGGAAGCGCTACGCTACGCTGCCGCAAAGTATAAACGCAGCCTTCTGGTACTCACGCCCGGGAGTCAGAAATTTGCCGAAAACTTCTCGTACTAACCTATACGCTAACTGAAAAAGAGTTGCTTTCGAGAAGTATTGAGGAGTCGGAATCTAGTGGATGGCAATTCGAGCACTTATACGCTTCATATCCCAAAGATGGGGAGGGCTGCGCTGCGCACTTCATTTTAACATGCCGTGAGGCACGTTCTTCGTGGAATTTTTCTGTTTGAGACAGCTGTCATCCTGACTTGCGCTGGACAAAGGCAATTTTCCTGAAGTGAGAATATCCCGCCAAAAGCACAGCTCTGCTATCCCCACTCATCTCTTAGTACAGTACGATGCATGTAATTTGTCTCGTTAAGGATTGAAAAGACGAACGAGCTCATAAACAATGCCCATGAAGAGATTCGCGAGTTTGATTCAAGTGCTGACAACAAACTTGGTGAGCACGAAGATTGCCTAATTTTTTGTGTTCCCATATTGGCACTGTGAGCTTCTCCAGATTTTGCTTAAGCCTTTAAAATACGATAGTAATAGAAGATGCTATGAAGAATATTTTTGGAGCAAAATTTGTCATCAGTTCGGGCGCAAAATCCTGCCACATTCTGAAAGAAATCTCAGTCTTATGCAAGGTCGCCAGGCTATAGGAAAAGTCTTGACTTCGGGCGTTACGCGATCACGGTTACCGCACTCTCCCGGATTTCCGAGGTTTGGGTTTGGGACCGCTTATCATAACTAGGACACCTCAGCAGGGTGATCACTGTTGGTACATCATTAGTATCTACCAATCATCAATGTTAGTGTGTGCTCAATTTTTGGTCTTCTTCCTGATACTGCTCTTTTATAAGTGCGCCCAGAGCGATGAGGTAAAGCGCTCCCCTCGTCTTAAAGACGGCGTCGTAGTTTTCTGACTATACTGTCTGCATTAGAAACCCAAACAGGTAGCACCAGTAAATGCTGTAAAAGGGGACAAATAGACATCAGAAAGGAAAACTGCACACTGACTTTCGTGGTCCCCAGTTTTCGCAAAGTTGATGTGGATTGGATCGTGCGTGCCAACTTCCCCGTTCAGAATTGCACGGGAACGGGCTTTAGGTTATCAATACTCGAGTGCCGTCTTCGTACTCTTACCGTCTGCCAGTGGCCAGAAAGGTGCCTAACCACAGCTAAACGCGTACTTGTCTCAGGGCACATCGTTGTTGGGATCTCCAATAGGGGGGTCGTATTTGGCCGCCAGGAGAGGGGGGGTCGTATTTGGGCTGGGAAAAATTTATTTTGATAGTTGATTTTTCTCGCTTCACGGACGTTGTAAAGGGGGGGGGGGTCGTACTTGGTCATTGTTGGGAGGGGGGTCGTATTTACGTTTTGGCGTTGTAGGAGTGGTGGTTGACTTTTGGTGATTTTCCTGTTTCATGCGTACTATACGTACCCCCCCCCACCGCCCCCCTCCCACGCGCGACAACAACGTTTTTGGGGAAAAGTAGGGAAATATGTATTCGGGGAAATTTGGAAAAAAGTGGCAGGATGTTGGGGAAAATGAAAATTGGTGGAGGGAGCCGTATTAGTCTCGCGACTTTTCCTGTTTCACATGTGCTACCCCCCCCCCGCTCGACGGCTCGATTCGATGAGGAGGACAGAGGGCCGGAGGGGTCGCACCAACCCCACCCCCCAAAAAAAGGGGGTCGCACGGACTCGACTAAAATCCCCAGCCAACGACGTGCCCTGACTTGTCTGCGTTCTCTTACTTCTGGTTGCGCTCTACCGCTGTGTGTTCCACTGCGAGATCCTCGTATAGACCCAAGTGCTGCACATTGAGGATAGCGCGAGTAGAGTTTGGAGACGGTATCACTTTCTTCCAGTCCCATTACCGTGCACCTTCTGAGCGAAGAAAATGAGACGCTACAGCAAACCAAGTCACCTCGCGCTTCTCCGGAGAAGGGTTCATTGTTCGTCTTCAGATAAACGTGCTCTCAAAAGCTGTTGTTGACGTAACTGGTGTTCCGTTTCCTGAGGTAGGAACTGATGCTAAAGACTGAAGCATAGTGTCCGCTTTTGCGCTTTCCAAAAAATTTAGCACTAATTGCGACAAGTTTTGGCTTGTCTGGACCCACACTCTTGTTAGTGCACGGTCACCTTGCACTGTCCGGTTGTTATCAAACGTGACGGTAAGCAGAACACCCTGGGAGAGATATTTGTCATTCGAAGTGCAGTTTTTTCAGCCAAGAACAACGAGAAGTATCGTGACTTGATGGTGAAGGAACGTGAATACGACGAGTTTCTGAGCGTATTCGAGGAGCAGAAGCAGGTGATTTTGCGATTTTGCGTCTGCCGGTTACCCCTGTATGAGCGTACGTTCTGCCCCTTCCCAATGGAAAGCGATCGTTGAAATCGCCGTCCTCCACCACTCTGCGCGATGCCTTATAAAAATTTGTCCATGTTTTTCAGAGTCTTCTGACCGAACTGGAGAAATACAGTGATGAAATTGTGCAGATCCTGCAGAAAATATCAGCTAATATTGGACAGGTAAGGCTTTCGTTCGTTCTTTCCAAATGCATCACATCTTGCCTGATCCGTCGCATCTGTTTGTTTCCCTGCTTCTTCTGATTTTGATAGTGGATTCAATCAATTGATCAGCGCTCACAGCTTAGCCCTATGTTCTTCACTGCTTACTGAACAGTGCCCTTTATATCGCCACAGATATACGGAATAAGCATTTCGACCCCTAATTAAAACTGAGAACTGAGCTAAATTGTGACTGTAACTGTGATGCTGTTTGTTCTATTGGAGGAACACCCATATTAACCATAAGCCTTGCAGACTAGGTAGCATCTTGCGACCCATCGAGGGGTCGTACTTGGTTGCCGAAGGGGAGGGGCGGGTTGGATATATCTTGGAGGATTTTTCCCAAGCCTAGAGAGGAAATTTTCTCACAACTGTTATCCCTGGCAGTTTTTTGGGGTAAAGGCGGAAATGTTCTTGGGGAACTGAGAGGAAAGTGGTAGGAAGATGGTAGGCAGGATAGGGGAAGGAGGTCGTAGCAAACGAGGATAATTGAGCAATCGAATGACAAACTAGCATTGGAAATGCCATTTCTTAACCTCGCTAGCTTCATCCTCCCATGGTGGTATTAATTCTGATGTTATACATAGGGCCGATGAAGGGAGGCTTCATTGAATTAATCGTGCAATTTCCGGCAGGACAGATTTCAGCTCTCTGTTTATTCTGTAGACATTTCAAAGAGCATGTGAGTAGAACTGAGAGAATCGTAATTTCCAGTGATTTATTCAGATCCACGAAACGGAACTAAACGTGACCGCTATGGACACAGACGGTCTGCTTCATGGAAAAGCGTCTGCAAAGGAACTTCAAGACTGTTAGTGTTCTACCAGTTACACTTTCGTGATGTATGGGTCTATAGTTCCAGGCACAAATAGTGCAGAGAGGGTTTGTCTCCAGGCCAAAAAAAGGTCGAGTAACTTCACTCTCACTTTACGACATGGCCCTCAAAAACGCTCCCCAGGGGTCGTATGCTATACTCCCCCTCGAGCAGAGATATCCCCTCGTGAATCTCATTCTCTGCCGTTATCTGCACTGATGCCCTCGTCTCTCTGGCTCTCACCGCTCTGCGTCTATACTCTTTTGGCGCATGCTATGTGCGAATATAGTGCAGCGCAGAGTATAACCCCATAGTCAAGGTGGGGATTTGTAGTGGGACAATGAAAAGGCACACTTGACCAACGCGAAGCCCCACAGTGGGCGGGGCACTCGCTGAAATTTTGGGGTTCCGCAGAGAAATGTTCATAATTCGCTTCCGGAGCAGAAGATGGGGAAGAAGATTAATAAGGTTAGCAAGGAGTTGCCAGACTACCTGTGGGGCTTCGACACCCCCAAAATGGGCGGGGCGTACTCAAGGTGGGCGGTGCTTCTCATAAAACTCAGTAACCCGGTTCGCGAGAGTGTTTAGAAGTCGCAAAAAGCTCAGTGCAGAATGTAAATATCTGGCGAGTGTTGGGCACGCTCAAAGTGTGTTGAGACCCGCCCACAGTGGGCGGAGCTTGCCCTAAATCGCAGGATACTCATTTTAAAAGTTTGTAGCTCGGTTCCAGAACACTCCAGAAACCGGAAAAAAGAGGATCAAGGTCAGCGAGAGCTGGGCCGATTGAGGATTGTGGGGCACAAACATTGTGGGCGGGGCCTGCTCCGAGGTGGGCGGAGTCAGACGAAAAATCTGTAAAATAGTTTCAGAGCACTCCAGACACCGGAAAAAAAAGGATTAAGGTCAGCAGAGGGTCGCCGGTGAGGATTTTGGGCACAAACATTGCGGGCGGGGTGCTCCAGACAAAAGTTCCGCAAGACTGTCCCAGAGCAGCTGATGCCAGCGCTCCTTCTCCTGTGAGACGGCATAGATGCTGAGGGGCAGAAGCAGAGAGGCGAGGGGCATCGATAGAGATGACGGTAGAGAGCGGAGATTTACTGGGCAATCTCCCCTTCGAGTGGAATTATAGTACAGGACACAGCATTAGTTGGGGATTTCGGTCAAGCCCGTATGACCCCCTTTTTTTGGGAGTTGGTACGACCCCCCAGCCCTCTGTCCTTCCTCATCGAATCGAGCCGTCGAGCGGAGGGGGGGGGGCATATAGTACTTTTTACCAAAAATTTTGCTGTCGAGCGGGGGGGGGGCATATAGTACGTGAAACAGGAAAATCACCAAAAGTCAACCGCCACTCCCACAACGCCAAAACGTAAATACGACCCCCTCCCAAAAATGATCAAATACGACCCCCCCTCCCTTTACAACGTCCATGAAGCGAGAAAAATCAACTATCAAAAAAATTTTCTCAGCCCAAATACGACCCCCCCCTCCTGGCGACCAAATACGACCCCCCCCTATTGGGGATTCCCCAACAACGATGTGCCCTGGTATAGCATACGGCCCCAGAAGACGCTGGTCTTGCCAACTGGGAAAGCTCCTAAACTTGAATTCCTCCCTAGAGTTTCATGCAATCGCTTCAATATCAAATGTTAAGTACTTAGGCGTAAGCAGCGCGACGCCGTTCTGGCCGGTTGTTGCGTTTCTGCTACATTCCAACCGCTTATTCATCTGAAACTGAGCACGTGCTCTCTTCAGACCATAAAAGTATTGGATGTGGGGCTATCACCACACTCAATTCCCTCCTATAGTCTGCCGCCTCACAACTAGGAAGAGCGGGAATTCCCCCTAAACCAAACCGGCTGCATATTGTGGTAATCAGGGCTCATCGTCGGTTGCGAACGTGGTTGCGCAGCACGGAGATCCCGCGGCGTATACAGGGTGAGGCCGAAAAAGGACACTTCTCCGAGTCCCATATTAGTAAAGTTTTCGCAGCCGAGGCAGAAGACGTGGATCTAGTACCCAGGGGACGGAAGATACCCAGGAGTTCACTAAATAAGCGGAGCAGACCCTTGCCCATCACTCTCCAACTACACCCGAAAATAAAACAAGTGATCTCCAACCTTAGCGCTGATTTCTGAAGACGGCATCGATGGAATCAAGTCAACTTCAAAGAGCAGCGAAACTTCTTGTATGAGTCCACCTCTTAGGCAAAGCTACCTAAAGACCCGCATCCTGAACATGCGAAGGAGCTCAAGCTCGAGCAGCTTTCCGACAACGTCGCTACGTCGCAGGATATCGTCGTTCCGCTTAGCCAACAGCGCGACTTTGATGGTATAATGGATAGCAAGTCCTCGATCGGGAAGCCTGAATATTTTCTTCTCTAGGGATCCGATGAGAAGGAGCCGCTGACTGTCGAAATGCTTCTTCGTTTCGTCCAAAACTGCTGTTGGCGGAGTCATCGTAGAAAGGTGTACCAATTTTTGTGGGAACTTACATGTGTGGGCAAAGCCCAATCACAATTCACCTAAAGTGTAACTTACATATGTCCTCCAAAATCCGAGGAGACAATAGAAACAAAGTGTCTTTTTTCCATCCCTCCTCCTGTAGAGAGACCAGCTTGGCTCGAAGACAACCTGCACCCCTACTTAATTGGGTGTTAGTCTTGACATGTGCAAGGTGAATGGGTATGCAGCAGCCGCAGCTTGTCACTTCCTCGGCTCAATTTGCTCGGGAGCTGGGCTGCAGACTAGTGGAACCTGGGATAATGTTTGGGACGCCGCTGGCACGTGTGACTGTGATTGTGGCTGGCCGTGCCTGGTACGCTTTCATTCGCTACTGACTTGTTCTTCTACATATGTGCTTGCTGCGGGATTTCGCTGCGCAAGCGAGCATGGCGCAAGCGGAATTTATTCAGGATAGCGCAGGCAAACCCGGACGTTCCCACGTATTGGTATCCTTCAGTCCCGCTCGCGCTCAAGCGGTGAAATTGTGCTGCTGACTCGTTCTTCTCGCACATCGCAAAAAGCGTAGCATACAGTTCGTTTCTTATCATTAGGCGAGAGCGACCTCCGGAGTCACGTTTCTACAACGGTCATGGGCATCAATCTTGCCAGTACTATTTAAGAGCTAATTCGAATTAAGCTTACCGAGGAATGTTGATAGTTTTCTTTTAGTGTATGTTCGGCTGAAAGAACAGATTATCGCGATGGATGAGCAAGAATTGCGACTTAACGCTGAGATGCAGTCATTTGACAAGAAAATGCAGGACTTGGAAGAGCAGCGCAACGTGTACGGCGACCTTGACCAGCTCGCTGCTGACGTTGAAAACAACATGAGGGTAGGGCAGCTATTACCTTTTTCGGGACTGATTTATTGTCTGATCACGTATGTAACATTCATTTTTCGACGCCAGCGGCATGCTCTCTGCCTAGGCTGAGCCCGAGAAAGGAAGTGCTTCCTTCCGCCAGGCTCAGTCGTAGCAGAGTGAGGTGATCAGAGTGCCCTCACTGCGCCGGCCCCAAGAATAAATGCCACATTCGCGATTACGACGTGAAGTAACCCTCGTATACAAGTATTCGTTGATTTGATCAGAGGGCTGATGGCGCCGGGGCCGAAAAAAAATGTCTATTTGCGATCACTGCACTGAAATGAGGAAAGTCTCAGCAGAGGAGCCATCCTTTCCTTTTCAGACTTTTTAGCTCTAGTCATAAGATTTTTGCAAAGCTCATAAGACAAAGATTTGAATGTGTGACAGCTAAAACCGATCTTTATTCGACACGATTTACAGTCTTGCTTGTCTTAGATAACCTCCCCAGCTTTAAAGATCTCGTTCACAATAATGGATCTTTGTAGGAACTTGATGAAAATCGTAACGAGTTGGAACGGAATTTGCCTGGTCTCTCACAACGTCGTGATGCTCTTGAAGAAGAACTAAGACATTTGAATGAGAAACTTGAAAGTAATCCCGAATTCGCTGAGGTGAGCGGAAGCTACATGCGCGTTCAAAGACTAGAGCTTTCTTTAACACTGATCGTGTAGGCGAAATCGTTGGTCTGCTCATTTTTAGCAACTTAAAGTAAGGAAGTCCATCAATCAGAAGGGGACGCTGTCCAAGAGTCCAAAGGCACTGTCCTACATATGTGATTGCAGCACTGTGGGCATTTAAAGAATGTTTAGATTGGGGCTTACTTTTCTGACAATTGCTGAGTCCGACTAAACTTTTATAACGAAAAACAGCAAGCATATCTGTTATGTATTGTAGCAGTTTGGCTGGCGCACACTACTGCACGATTGATTACAATATGAATTTATTGATAATCGTGAAACATTTAAAGTAAAGAATAGAGAGAGTGACTATCTATAGCGGCTATTAGGCCACAACAGAACTAATACCGGCCTGTGCTCATTGTCGCATCAAGCGAGGGGGTCCCCGAACTCACCCCCGATAGCTTATCAACCAACTGTACCGTTGGCCTTGATGCCTCTAGCAGTCCCATAATTATAGAGCATTATCTTCTTCTTCTTCTGCCTAGCGTTAGTCCCGCGCCGTCGCAGGGTCCGCTGTTCTTGTTAGACGTCGCCACTTGTTCCGATCCACTGCATCTTCTGCTGTGGCTTTCACTTCAGTGAGGTCCTTCTTGATGACGTCCCTCCATCTTTTCTTTGGGCTCCTCGTGGTCGCTTGCCCTCTACCTCGAATTCCAATGCCTTCCTTATTGGGTGGTCTTCAGGCCTCCTCAGTATGTTCCCATACCATCGCAGTCGCTGCTCTCGTGTTTTCAGCTGGATCGGGCCGTCTGTGTGACGTCCTCGTTTCTGACTCTGTCGAGTCGTGTCCAGCCGCAGGCCCATCTCAGCATCCTCATTTCAGCTGAGTGGAGCTGCCTTTCATGGTTCTTGCAGACAGGCCAACACTCACTGCCACTGCCTTACCACCGCCCGGTACACCTTGCCCTTGAGCGTTCTCGAGCACCGCCGGTCGCACAGGATGCCAGTGGACTCCCTC